GATGTTTATTGTAAGAAATTATCTAAACTAGAAGACTAAGCATTTGTAGCAAATTGTTGGATATATACAATGTTATATATATAAAAAAAACCGTTCATTGATAAAAATTATAGCATATGGAAAGCATCTTCTATGACACAAATCTTTTACTTGTATGTCTCAATCATTATTCACTATGGTTTCTTACAAAAATGATTGGTCGTTTTTTTGCATCAAATACGTCTGTAAGAATCTATTGATCAGACAAGTTGTAATATCCTTTGCTTCTAGCCTTCTACCGATACATCTACATCATCTCAACAGAGGTGTTGAAATGCATCTTTTGTTTATTTTATTAGAACCTTGAATCATAAAGAGAGAAAAATTGATGCTTGATTGTATTTTTGTCACTCTATTTATCGTTTTACTGTGATTTTTATCTTTCACATCAATTCATTGGTGAAGTGATTATGTTTTTCAAGGTTCACAATTTGTGGTTGAGTGAAATTTTCTTTTGAGAGTTTTGGTTGGGAACGTTAATTTGTTTAACACAAATTATTTCAATTGCATTAGAGGGTGATTGTTAAATTAGTAAATTGACTTTAAAAGTTATGAAAATATTTTTAAAACGTTTAAATTCTAAATTTCTCCAATCAGTCCTAAAATTATTCTTTAGTTTTCTCACATCATCTTGTTTTTTTCATGTTATGCTTCTTTTTATTAAAGTTTTTATTTTGTGATTTCTTTTTATTTCAAAATCACGGTTACCTAAATAGAAAGCAAAATTTAAAAAAAATTGTATAGGATATTGTTGGATTTGATAAATAAAATATCTATTTTTTATACATAAATTTATAACAAATTATATTTTAATTTACATAAGAATTACATAAATGTACATAAAACACTTAATTGTTAATTGTTAAAATTAATTTATATAAGAACAAGGATTGCCTATTAAATTGTTAGAATTAATTGCTAAAGTTATTAAAAGACACTTAATTTTTTCTTTTTTTTTCAATAAATAAATTTAAAAAAAATGTCAAAAATTAGATGATCCATGGCCGCCTCTCATGGCTTTTATTTTGAGAAACCTTACTATATTATATAAGATATATTAGAATATCAATTAATTAATTGTATAAAATTCGCTTTAAAAAAATAATAAAAATTAATTGTATAAAATCAAACACAAAAAAATATATATGGAGAAGGAAGATCAATGTTCTAATTGTTTCAATAATATTAAATTGGTTTTTGGGCTATCAATGTTCGAATTAATAATAGTCATAGGAAGATATTTTTATATAGATATTTAATATTTTTGTGTATAGAATTAATAAGAATAATAATGGACTAAGTAATTATGATTAGTAGACTTAATTAGAGAGTCTAATTGTCATATCATATTTTATCAATGTCATGTGATAATAAAAATGGGAAAATGATCCTAGAGAAGACATATAAACTAATCACTTCTCGATATTTAAAAACCAAGAAAAATAAACTTCATCAAAAAGTTTTCAAAATCTTTTGAAGAAAGGTGGCAGAAAAAAAAATTGTTATTACGTACCCCGCAAATATCACAGAGAGGAGCATCTTTGAAAGTAGGAGAAGTGAGAGAGAATCGGAGATGTTTTCTGGGGAGTTTATTAGCAAAATGAACATGACGATCACAACCATTACAAAGAGCTGCTTCATCTGCACAACAAAACACCAATGCTTCTTCTTTATCACACGCATCACCCCAAATCTTCATCTTTCTTAGAAAATGAAAGTTTTTGGTTGGGATTTTGTTTTTCTCAAGAAATTTCACAAAATAGATCTTCTCTCTCTCTGTATCTGTGGACCAGTTATATAATAGTGTTGATAAAGATCGTGTGTGTGTCATGTATGTATAAGTGTACGTAGAGATGATGGTGTACAGTTGTGGGCAAAAGGGTAATAATAATGTGTTGGCTTTATATATAAGCAGCTTAGGTTTCCTTTGTCTTTTTTTTCTTCTAACTCTTCCTCTCATTTTCTTGATAGCTACTCTC